TCGGCGCCGGCGTGCCACAATTCTAGGCTCAGCTTTTTAAGAATTAATTATCATTATATCGCCAATATCCCAATATACCTAGAAATCCTACCTGCTAGTCCAACTCTGTTTGTAACAATGCACAGTATTATAATGATGGTAGCCTTAAAGAAGTAAATATTGTATAAAGCCAAGAAGAACCTCGCTTCATCTTCGTAGCAGTAAGCAGTCTAGGATCTAAATTGGATAATCCTCATCGAAATCGCATAGTGTGTGGGAAGCTGAAAATTGAATGCGTTCTAGCGCCTAATAAGTATTGAATCGATAGTCTCCGAAGCAGTATATAAGCTGGCCCCAGCGTTTCAAAATTCAGTTCGGAAGCGTCCGCCATCGGTACACTTCCAACCAATTCATCGCGAAAGGAAGAAAACTACACCACACAGCACACAGTTACTATGAATAACTGGCGTTTACTACTACTTGCGGTAGTCGCGGTTTTTCAACCTATTGCATCTTTCACTGATCGTAACCTTATTGATGGAAGGCAGCAGTGTTGCGATCGTCTTTCACCAACTCTGCTTCGAGATACGAGGTCTTCGTTTGATGGAACACACCGGCTCGCCAAAACTTCTTCGGTCTTAAGACGTCTGAACGATCGAGAGGAAATTCATGAAGATCGACGTTATGAAGTGAAGCAACTTGACTATAGCCGTTCTATGACAGAGAGACCACCGATAGATAACAAAGAGAGAGTTTTACGACTAGCACCCTCTGTCTCTCCCGAGGGACGTGTCGGTCGTGAGAACTCCTTTAGTCGTGAGCGGCTTCTAGATGTACAACAACGACAGGCCATTACTCAATCTACTCGAGACCTCAAACCACAGGATCTAAACCGTAGAGTTGTGCTTCGCACTTCTAGGAATGCCGTAGAACGTCGAGATGGCAGGATCTCCAGCGAATCAACATATGACAGGATGGTTAGAGACGATCATCGAATTGGACACAATTTTCAACGAGAAACACAAAAAGAACAATTCAGATACGAAGATCGTAGACTCACGCGGAATAATGATGTACGACGTTTTCTCAGTCAAGCAAGACTACTTCAGGTAGACAGAATTCAACCTGAAAGCGGCATGATTAATCGACGTGTTACAAGGGAAAGGCTCAGTATGGCCCGACGTGAAAATTTGCAACCCATCCGCGAACAGATTTTTGTAGAACGCCGAGAGACCAAAACTGAAGATCGACGAGAAATAAGGTTATCTCCACGATCTTTAAACTCAGAAAGTAGAAACATCCGTGAACTGAGGGACGAGTCCAGAGCAACCAGAACTGCCGATAAAGAGCGACAACATTCTCGCGAAATGAGGGATGAGCCTAGATTGAGTCGATTTGTTACAACAGAACGACGATCTACTGACAAAGAAAGCCGAAATACTCGAGAAATGAGAGTAGTTATTGATGTAGAACGTAGAAATTCCCGTGAAATAAGGGATGAACCTAGGCTAAGTCGAACTTCTTCCGTAGAACGCCAAAATACCCGCAAAATGAAGGATGAATCTAGGTCAAGCCGATCTGTTGATGAAGAACGTCGAAACTTCCGCGATGTCAGAGCCGGATTGAGTTTAAGCCGATCTGCAGACGCAGAACGCAGATACGCTCGTGAAGTACGCGGTGAAACTCAAACTGGTTATGATGAACGCCGAAACTTCCGTGAAATGAGAGACGAACCTAGACTAAGCCGAACAACTTTTGTAGATCGTCGAAATATCCGCGAAATACGGGCTGCATCTAGACTAATCCCAACTGCTTCTGTAGAACGCCGAAATACTCATGAAATGAGGGAGGAAACTAGGTTAGACTCATCTACTGAAACAGAACGCCAGAAATTCCGCGAAATACGAGAATCCAGGCTCAGCCGATCTTCTGATGGAACACTCCGAAATACCCGCCAAATAAAAGACGTTACAGACGAAGAGCACCAAAACACACGCGACATGAGGGTCGGACTCAGTAGATTCGCAGGTTCAGAACGTAGGAATTATCGGCAAATAAGGGAAGAATCGACGTTTATCCGATCTACTGAAGCGGTACGTAGAAATTCCCGAGAAATGAGGGACGAAGCTAGGCTAAATCGAAATGCTGAGACAGAAACCAGGAATATCCGTGAAACAAACGAGGAATCCAGGATAACCCGATCTGCAAACGTAGACCGTCGAAATACCCGCGAAATGAGGGACACACTTCGGCTGAATCGAAATACAGAATCAGAACGTCGACACTCTCGTGAAATAAGACAGGACTCTAGGTTAAGCCGATCTGCTGATGAAGAACGCCAGAACTTCCGTGATTTAAGGGCCGGACTGAGACAAAGCAGATCAATTGCCGTAGAACTAAGAAATACCCGCCAAATGAGGGAAAAATCTGGATTAGACCGATCCGCTCCCGAAGAACGTCGAAACATGCGTGAAATAAGAGAAACCATTGACGCTGACCGCCGAAACTTCCGAGATGTTAGACTTATTAGGTCTGCTGATGTAGAACGTAGGAATTATCTGGAAATGAGGGAAACTACTAGTGAGGAACGCCGAAACTTGCGCGACATAAGGGGCGGACTACGACTAAGTAGATCTGCCAACGCAGAGCGTAGGTATTCCCGCGAATTACGGGACGAATCTAGAATAAAGCCATCATTTGAAACTGAACGCCAGAACTCCCGTGAATTAAGGGAGGAATCAAGACTAAGCCGAACTGTTGATAGAGAACGCCGAAATACTCACGATATTAGAGCCACACTTAGACTAAGCCGATCTGCTGATACAGAACGTAGGAATTCACGTGAAATAAGAGACGATTCTAGACTTAGCCTATCTGGTGCTGAGGAACGCCGAAACACACGCAAAATCAGTGTAACCACTGATGAAGAACGCCGGAACTTCAGAGATGTAAGGGCTGGAGTAAGGCTTACCAGATCTGCTGACATAGAACGTAGACAATCCCGTGAAATGAGGGACGAATCTAGGTTAGGTCTATCCGCTGCCGTGGAACGTCGAAATATTCGCGAAATGAGAGAAACTACTGACGAAGAACGTCGAAACTTCCGTGACGTACGGGCTAGAGTAAGGCTAACTAGATCTGCTGACAGAGTACGCAGTCAATCCCGTGAAATGAGAGACGAATCTAGGCTTAGCCGATTTACTTCTGAGGAACGCCGAAACACCCGCGAAATGAGAGAAACTACTGACCAAGAACGCCGAAACTTCCGTGACGTAAGGACTGGAGTAAGGCTAACTGGATCTGCTGACACAGAACGCAGTCAATCCCGCGAAATGAGAGACGAATCTAGACTTAGCCGATCTACTTCTGAGGAACGCCGAAACACCCGCGAAATGAGGGAAACTGCCGATGAAGAACACCACAACTTCCGTGACGTAAGGGCTGGAGTAAGGCTAACTAGATCTGCTGACAGAGAACGCAGTCAATCCCGTGAAATGAGAGACGAATCTAGACTTAGCCGATTTACTTCTGAGGAACGCCGAAACACCCGCGAAATGAGAGAAACTACTGACCAAGAACGCCGAAACTTCCGTGACGTAAGAGTCGAACTAAGGCTAAGCAGATCTGCTGACACAGAACGCAGTCAATCCCTCGAAATGAGAGACGATTCTAGACTTAGCCGATCTACTTCTGAGGAGCGCCGAAATACCCGCGAAGTGAGGTCAACTACTGACGAAGAACGCCGAAACTTCCATGATGTAAGGGCTGGAGAAAGGCTAAGCAGATCTGGCGACACAGAACGCAGACAATCCCGCGAAATGAGGGATGAATCTAGGTCAGGTCGATCTGCTGCTATAGAACATAGACAATCCCGTGAATTGAGGGACGATTCTAGGTTAAGCCGATCTGCTTCCTTAGAACGCCACAATACCCGCGAAATGAGAGAAACTATTGATGGAGAACGCAGAACGAACTTCCGTGACGTAAAAGCCGGAGTGAGGCTAAGTAGATCCGCTGTCAACGAACACAGACACTCCCGCGAATTGAGGGACGAATCTAGATTAGATCGATTCACTGCCGTTGAACGCCGAAACACCCGCGAAATGAGAGAAACTACTGACCAAGAACGCCGAAACTTCCGTGATGGAAAGGCTGGAGAAAGGCTAAGTAGATCTGTCGACACTGAACGCAGACAATCCCGCGAAATGAGGGACGTATCTAGGCTAAGTCGAAACTTCCGTGAAGTAAGAGATGAATCCAGGCGAAGCCAATCTACTGATTTAGAACGCCGTAGCAAAATACACCACGACAGAATGGAACTTAGCAGGAAAAATGAAAACAGGGAACGAGAGCAACGAGAGCTAGTTGAAGCTCGTCCGCAAAATGTACTGCTGTCCAGAAATCGAGACCAAGTTTCAATAATGGCCAGCAAAATGGATTTAGAAAAAGATTTTACCACAGCTAACTGGCAATATGTTCTGTATACATTGCAAGCTGCATATTTGTGCGCCCTCTTCCTGCAGTTACTGAAACCAAGCCACACAGAAAAGTCACATTCCAGGTAATAGATCAGATAAAAAAAAATCTATCCCAGAGTCAATGTAAAATTCAGTATGGGTTTTGATGAACTAACAAGTGTTTGTTTTTTTGCAGAAGTTTCTGTTGGCTGCCTGTATCATCTTACTACAACCCCATCAAAGTGGACTAAACGGCTATGCTATATTGACATCTGTAATCTCTACATACCTACTAATGTTTTAAGCTTATAGAATATATTCAATGTTATTACGATCTCTTATTCTAATGTATTCATAGAAAATAAATTATTGTGTGTTATAACAGTTGTTGTTTACCTATTTACCAAGCCCTTGAGATAACTAATTAAGATAACTGAACTTATAAACAAAATAATTTGTATAAACATTATGGTATAAAGTAATAAAACTAAAATATAATAAATCTGATTCCATTTATTCATATTACTTCACATATTTACTCTATTTGCAAGCTTATACATTATTCTACAGGTCTAGAGTATCTGATTTCTTCTTATGCTGTCCCTCATACCAAGCCTTTGAAATCATTCTCTTCATTTCATCATCACCAGTCTCATACCTGAAAGGAAATAGTACAATTACATTAAACACATTCAAATATCCAAACAATTCCTACATACAAATAATAATTATTATTTCAAATGCTATTGAATGCGTAACTTAATACAATAATCACACCAGTATATGACATCATTTATAATTTAATGCCTATACTATGTATGTTGCATTATCAGAGCACTATCTCTATTATCCATTTTTAACAAAGTATTTCATTGCAAATTGTAAAGCTTATGACATTATTATGTTAAAAAAACAAGAAGGCTATAGAACTTAAACCATAAAAAGACAAAGGAAACTAGCTACAGCTAACTCCAGCTAGCAAACTAAAACTAAATAAGTAGGTACATTCACAACACTAAAGGGCTGAGTATTTGTTTTTTTTAAGGGGGGAAAATCATCAAATGGCTTCCCCGCCTGGGTGAAGCGGTAGGGAGTGATAGACTCTTACTGAATAAAAACCACCACATTCCTACTACTGCACTTTGAGCCGAAACCCAGCAACCCGTTAGGTTCTCCGCGGCTCCGTAAAGGGCTGAGTATGTACTTACTTTACTTTAAACATAAAGTAATCGAAACAAGACCGCATTCAACCCTCTGATTCGCCTGCTCCAATGTACCAACCTAAAATAGACTCTATATGCTGCTGGAAAATGTAAACACAATAATTGATAACAGTACTTACATGTTTTTCATAAGGCTCATAATGGACTCCTGTGGATCTGCTTTGTCCATGTCAGGGGTTGCAGGCTTAAGTTTACTGTTGCGCTGGTCTTCAAACTTCTTCTCAAGCTCTGTCATGTGGGACCATTTAATGTTGGGGCGCGCTTTAGCTAGGAATATGACGACCATATCTGCAGAAAAACAATTAGATTAATATTTTTACAGGTTGGTTATGAGAATGAGTAATATTAGTAACATTTAAATTCTATTTTTAGCATATTTCTAACATACATTAAAATAAAAAGATATATAAAATTTGTTTTACATAAAACAACAATTGATTAGTTGAAAATGTTATTTGGCTAATAATTTTTATTTTCCACCTTCCTGTGTAACAGCTGGATGTGTACAAGCAATCTGTGCATCAGTTTAAAATATTAGGAGATGATTATGCTCACATACCTGTTTTCTGTTTCCAATGGCTCTCTTCAACATTGATGGAGTCCAATAGTTTGTTGATAACAAGCAGGTAGTCCTTGTTGTCCAAGTTTTCAACATGTAACTCCATAGATTTATCTGTTAACTTACAGTAAACTTGTTCCTTGGGCAGAGACTGAACATCCTTTAGTGTGACAAAGACTTTTATGTACTTATCGGACTGATCCCAACCTGAAAAAAATGAAAATAATAAAGAAATTGATAAAAGTGCTTGTAGCTTGAAGGTAAGTTGAGTGAATAAATTGATGACAGAATGAAATATCTCTCTCTTAGGAATTAAAAATATATATTGTGATTTTTCTCTAAGTATTAGTAAGCCGTAAGGTTTTAAGGTTTCCATATTAGTTTAGTTTACCCACAAATTCAGTTCAATGTCCAAATTATCCAACAAGAAAGTTTTATTATAAAATTATAAAGTCTAATAAGATTCTCATTCGTATCGATTGTAACTATTAGAGGACCGAATAAAAATATTTCAGCAGCATGACAAGCTAAAGCTAAAACTATGCATGGCTAAGGGTTTAAAGTCCCTTTACTAACCATATCCATTCAGTTTAATTTGGTATCTCTTAGGTTGTGAAGTCGCTGCGGTGGACGGTGCCGGCGAGGTTCCAGCTTGCGAAGATTGTGCACTTTCCTTCAAATTTAACCATTCCGTTTCCAATTTCCTAATTTCTAAGGACAACAAATCTTGAGCCCTCTTTCTTTTAGCCTGTTTTAATAACTCATTCAGCTCATCGACATCACTGCGTAACTATAAATAAATAAATTTAATATGAAGTAACATAGGTTATAATATTGAAATGTATTTTTCTGGCGTCAATTTCAACATAATACAAACCTCTTTCATTTTAGCTTCAGACATTTTTATGGCTATATTTTCTTCAACTTTCAAGAATTATGTACGTAATTCACTAATTTGTATTGTTTACTCGCACTAAGCAATTATTCACAGTTAAAGGGTAATATATTTTACACAAAAATAATTATCAAAAAATGTTTGAATTTGACTCGGAAAACACACTTTACCGAATGAATGATTCAGAAAATCGAATCGTTCTAGAATGCGAACGAATGAATTATAGTTCTAGAAATAAATAATGGGACATTTTAGGGTTAACAATGTTGCCAACTTAAAAAAAAATTCATTCGATTTTTCAAAATAAAATTATTGATTTGTTTGTTCCTGACCTTTTCCCAATTATTATAAGTAGGTATCCGGTATCCGCTATTCGCCAGAACAACAGGATCACTGGCCGCCCTTCCAATTTATGGATTACGGCATATGGAGCTCTCGGAGTAACCAGATTCTAAAATCACTCATGTAAAAAAGCAATGCTTATTTTATTACTTTGAATTCCATAATCCGCATCAAGCAAGGTGGTTCACATTTATTTCCTCTTGGTGTGAGAAGAGGACGATCAATTGAGCATTGAGCGCTAGCGCTAGCGCTCAATTGATCGTCCACCACCAGCTATATAATAAGTTAGTTAAGTTAGCATAGTCGAGATAGTAGTTTTATACATTTGCGTCTACCGCAACCTAATCCTATGGCAGCTATGATGACATGAAAACATTATTTGTTTCTCAATCGCTTTTCTCTCGAGATTTTATCTTTCGCTGTTTTATTGTTGCAATCAATCCTTATAGTCGATATTTTTTAGCTAGATACTCACCGCCTCGATGCCATACCGCGACTCTGGAAACTCTGAAGAATCACAGAGAATTTTGATACCCCCAATAATGTTATATGAATGAGATAATTGTTGATATTGGAAGGTGTTAGGTTTAACATATAACCAAAAGAATATTTTTTGAAAGAACACACGTCATGTTGATCATGGAATTATTTATTCACAGTAACTAGGTATACAGGTAGATTAATGGCATAAAGACGAAAAGAGATTAAACATCAAGCAATAACATCGTCGTAGAGAGTTCAGTTCTTTCGGTGGGTACGGTTGCGACGCATAGCACCTTGACACTGTGGACAGTACCATTTGCCTTTCGGTGGGGCGGTAATACCCACACACGGATAGTGAAACCACTCATATGGGCACTGGAAATTAAAATTATACAATAAATTATATTTAAACCGAAATAATTACACGATTAGTGTTTATTTAAAAATAAAAGCAGTAAAATTATACTTACATCCTGATTATCACAAGCGACCATGTCACCGTATGATACCTGATTGCAAATACAGTAGCGAGGTTCGTTGGGATCGTACGTCCATTCCTCCTCCATTGGCTCTTCAATAGCAACATTGTTCACGACGTTGTTCATGGCCCTAGAAAAATAATTTTGTACTTAGTACTCATGAAATACTTGGTAATTTATTAAACCATGTGAGGTATTGTATAGTATTTATATACGTACACAACTGTAGGTGAAGATGACCGACTAGCAGCCGATGCGACGGCCTGCTGAGAATGGGCCGACACGCCGGTAGAGCTGTAACTGTTGCTTTTCCTAGGATAAAACAGTAACAGAAAAAGTGAATAGGCAGTCAACATGAAACAATATCTTGTAGAAGTGTCAAGTCCAGTTAATTTGCAGTCGAAAAGTAAAACTTCGTAAAGATTAATATTTTATTAGGTACTCTTTCATATAAAAACTACTGAACAGATTTAGATGAATTATTTTAGTTGGGATTTTCGGGAATTGAGTATAAAGTCAACGTGGACGGGGAATAAAATGTAAATTCAACTCACTTTTGTTTGTTCCTCTTATTAGAAGAAGATGAAGTATTGTGTCCATGAGCAGTAGTGTGATGTCCATGAACACTATTGTTTTGACTATGGCTTGATGCCATGCCGTGTCCTGTAGAAGGTAAATTAATTATATAAAGAAGTTTGTTACTAGAAAAAGCACGAATTTTAAAAACAAGCATTTTCTCCATAATATAGATATACAAAACTTAATTTCTTTTCGTACTGGTACAAATCACTAACATTAGTTTAGACAATAATATGCCAGCCGGCCTTAAACGTGCTAATGAAAAAATATACTTTTTGATTTATTCGATTTTGGGATCCTACCCAGTCCGATCCTAGATTTATTTTAGCTGTAAAAAATAATGGTTCGCCTAAGATATTTGCAGTTGCAAATCTATACAGTTGTATCACAAACACCGATTTCACGTACACATCACACCTAGACTCGGATCAATAATTTGTAAATCATATAAAACAATTATTGTTCCGAGAGGGAATCGAACCCGCGACACGTTACGCAGCGGCTCGCCGTCCAGCCATTGCGCCAACCGTGCTGTCAAAACATTTCAGCAAATTTCCTAATAGGAAGTTTGTAATCAGTGTTCTACCATGGTCGTGATGTGTGTGGTGTGTCTGCAAGGTATGGTGTGCCAGTTCACCGCCCGCCACAGCCTCATACGAAGCTTTCAGGGAGGCCGTGCGGCGACCGTGCTGCATCTGTAAATATTTTTCATTGCAACATGACACGATATGCTCTAAAAAGTTACGAACTTCTACAATAACCCTTTTTCGTATTATAAAAAAATAGATATCTTGTCTGGTAATATTTTAAAGCCTTTTAGTTAAGAATCTGAAAATTTCAATCGAATTTTAGCAGGATACCAGCACAGTATGAAAACTATATTCATATAGCAAGAACGTTTAATAAACTTACCTGTTGAGTAGCTGCTATAGCTTGGCTAGCGGCAGCTGCAATAGCGCTACCTGCATGACCTAAAGAATAGGAGTCCCTGCCTAAGGCAGCCTGGAAACAAATAACAGAATAAAATGTAATTTAAATAATGTCAAGACCGTAGCTGCAGATAGATTATACATTATAGTTTATACAAAGAGATTGATGGATGTAGACAAACAAAAACTACAAAGAGTAAAGTTTGAATTGTTTCTACCTGCTTCAATAGGAGATAGTTAGTATGATATTATAATACTTAATATTATGCTACAAATAACATTCCACACATAATTTACTAATAGTTACCTGGATAGCTGAATCAGTTCTAGATAAAGTTCCCGATGCATGACCCCGAGATTCACGATTACCCCAGCTATCTCTTCGCTTTTCAGCCCGGATGCGGTATCTGCAATTATTACATTCATAATAATTAATGTCGTTTCAAACATGTAAGTAGAGTTGCTTTTACAGGATAGAGGAACAGTATTTATAAGTAATTTGAAGGTAACTGTGTGACCTGGGAATTGAACCTGCAGACTCATGCTAGGTAGACATGTAGCCACAAGACTTTAAACATAATTAGAAATATATTTTAGAATAATAATAAACAATCATAATCTCATTACTAAAAATACAAAATCATTAATCAAATGAACAATTAAACACTATTAGCTTTAATGTACCAATACAAAACTAGGATATAAATAAATCGAGACAGTTAACAAACCTGTTTTCTTTGTAATGATTGTTATTTGATGTGCTAGTGTGATTGGTGTTCACATCAAGTTCCAGAGATCGTTTCTCCAAAAGCTCAGTAATTCCTTTGTTGTCAGCTTCCAATTCACATTTAAACTTATGTAGTTCGGTGTCTGTAGACATTAAGATCATTTTAGGCATGTTTACAATGAAATATATTTTGTGTATAAATTAATTAATACTAATAAGATTTTGATAATGTTTCCTTTTGAACCCACTTATCATTCAAGAATTTATTTATTTAATTTAATTATATGTACATTGAAATAGTATAATTTTGTTTTCTTACCAAGTCTGCGTAAATATCGGTCGACTAAGTCATACATCTGAGTTGCTAGAGATGTTTTTTCTTCAGCTTCCTCAAGGGTCTTGTTGTATCCACGCTTAATGTCAGAAAATTCAGTATTTGCTTGCTCGGTGTTTAATTCTCCACGTCTGCACCCGCTAAAAAGGGTACGGACTCTCTTTTCCAGCGTATCCATGTTATCTGAGTAATATTTTTACTACTTTAGAATTTAAATAATTTAATAACAATATCAGGCACTCAAACTAAATATATTACTTACTCTGAACAGACAAATCCATTTCTCTCATTTCCGTAAACCTATCCCTCAGCTCCTGCGGGAGATGCTCGATCACTGCAAAAAAAAAAATTAAAGTTTTAAAAACTGAGATGATGATCACTTAGAATTCGAATTTTCGCGCTACTTTTTTCAGGGCACGCCACAGGGGTACCAACACCAAAATTGTAAATTACGTCATTGCAGAAGAACAAAGAATATCTTACTTTCTAAATAGTCTTCAAGATACAGCATTTTGGTAAGTTCTATTTACTTGTTATACAAAATTAAACTCAAAATTGATTAGATCTTTACACAAGTAAAGCACAAAACGAAGCAATCGCGTTTAAATGAAACTACGCATTAATATATTGACGTGTACAATTGTACACTATTCCGACGTCACCGCACCATAGACTATACGAGAAGCCGTTAAACTGCGATCATAAGTAGTGATGGGCACATGAGACTATTTGTATTTATTATTCGCTTTGCATCAGCGATATACCTACGTTTTATTTAAACTTGTTACATTGAATTGAGTAATGAGTGAACTAGTACAGTAAATATATTATTGTAATATATTGTTAATAGTTATTTAAACATTTGTTTTTATAGTAGGTTAGAGAACAATTACTAAATAAAAAAACACGATTTCCAAATGTGTTGTGTAAATAATGGACAATGGCCAATATTCAAAATATGAAATAAGTATTGTTTTGTTGTAAAGGAATGTTTTTTTGCTTTTGCTTATTTGAAACATTCCAGGCAATATAAAAATGATCTCATGGGGAAATTAAAGTGATAACTACAATTTTTTTCAGTTCTCTTACCAATACACTTCACCATTATTTTTCAATATTATAATACATTTTTTTCTTCTTTGGCAACCGAGAATAATACATTATTTTGATGTTGTCCAACTCGTTTGGTTGTCATACTATTTTCATTGTTTAATATTATGTTCTAAATACTCCAAAAGAAACAGTTATTAATCTTATATCTTGTACTCTTATACTATTATATAAAGCGAAAGAGTTGTTTTTTTGTTTGAACGCGCTAATCTCCCTGTAACTACAAGTCTGATTTGAATAATTATTTTTGTGTTGGATAGCGCATTTATCGAGGATGGTTATAGGCTATAAAACATCACACTACAACCAATAGGAGCTGAGCAGAGCGTGAGAAACCACGCGGAAGTAGCTAGTATAAAATAAATTTTAGTCAAATACTTTATAATAGTCACGGCTAAGAAATTAGTATAGAGCCATTAAGCGCTAGTCCTATGTGGAAAAATTCAGAAACTGTATATTCTATTCGCGAGAAGATTAGACAAAAATAAAATTTGTTTCTGTAAGTTTTATTTCGTAAGCATAAGCATGGACCTAAAACATTTAAAAGCAAACAAAAAAAATTACAAAAACTAACTATTACTGACCTACTGCAGCTGCAGCCACCATTTGGTCATTCCACTAACTTAGTAAAAGTAAAAAACGGTCAAGTGAACAGTAATAACATGTCGAAAGTTGGTTTCAACGGACCACAGATGGGAACTGGATCATATTATTAAGATGGCAGTACCATCATAATTTATACTTATATTGTACTGCAGATAATTTCTTTCGATTATCGATTACAGGTTGTGGTGCGTTATCTAAGCAACAATGGACATCACTATTATGATCGCAGTGCTGCCAACCGCTTAATAATGATGCGTTCATCATAATCAGACCTAATAGTAATTCTAAAGTTGCGTTCAAAATAATTTAAAAGTATTGTAGTTATCTAGGTTTTTATAGCGTGCTTGTTTATTATTTGATATTTCTATATTCTATTAATTGAAATTATTTGTTTACAGTAACAATGATCAGACGACCTTTAACAGAAATCACACTGAAATTAGATGATCTACAGGAATATGAATCTTTTCGGAGAGACCAAGGAAACAACTCATCATCAACTAGTGAAATGCAGGAAGACATTCCAAAACCGTTAGATGTAGTGAAAACTATTGAAGATATTCATAACAGAATTGGATATGCTCCTAAGAAAAAGCTTGGTGGTCCTAGTACTGTGTAAAATAATTCCAAATTATAAATACTTATGTTAAGAAATAAAACTTAAGTTGCAGAACAGATCTTTATTTCAACAATTGTAATTTAGTACATCAATAATTTGTTTAATATTACATTTAAAACAAGTAGAATTAATAAAATGTAAAGCACGATTACATATTAACTTAAAATACTAGTGAATAATCAGCAAAATTGATTGTGCTTTGAAATTACAATAAAATGCCACGTAGATCCTTTCCATAAGGTACCAGGTTAACACGAATATTATGTTCGTTTATTAATAAATAACTACTGAGATTTCGTAGTTTTATTCGCTGTATGGATGGATCACTTTATTAGGACTTGGTCCAGGAATGTTAGAACTTTTTGCAAAATCAATTCGTCGCTGCTTGTTTCGACGACGCCAAAGAAGGCAGCATAATCTGTGGTTTAAAGAAAATAACACGTTAAACATGGTATTGAAAGCTTACTTAACTATTGAAAGTAGGTAAAAAAAACACGTTTTTTTGGGCGGGCGTTATTCAAATTCGTAGGTGGTCCTTCGCAGTTCAAGCAGTCGAAATAGAATAAGGACATCTCTTATCTCTCAAGTATTTACAGCAATTTTTTTAAAGCATTCTTTGCCCCGCTTAACTGAATTTGAGTTTACAGAGATTTAGAGCCGATTTTTCAATGCTCAGATAAATTTTAAGGAATAATTAACTATCAATATTTGACAATTCTTCCATACTAAAAATTGACAACTATCACTTTTATTCTACAGTTAAGAATTAACTGATGATTGAAAAATCGACCCTTAGTCGCGGAAGACGCGGAATAACAATTAGTGGACCACACTAATGATTGTTTCGTGCGGGAATTGAACCCGCGACACGTTGCGCAGTAAACGGTCAGCAAGTCACTGCGGCAATTCTGCAGTAGTAAGATGTATACACAAGATCGATAAAATCTAGTTAGCTCAGCAATCAGATGATTTGCCTAGGCAAATGGAAATAGCTCACTAAGATGATCCAGGAACCGAAGCCGAAAGCTCTTATTCGGTAGGTAGTCGAATGGTCGCTTGGGATAATTTAAAATGTTTCCTACGTCTAAATAGATAAGTAAACTTTTGATTATAGCACTAATGTTACACACCTCAATGTTAGGAAATAAACGATTTCAGCGACACTGAGGATGGAGAAACCCATGAATAGTCCAAGTAAACCACCACAGTTGGCGAGGAAGTCCGTTTGTCCATACAATTCCGACCGGCGAGAGGTAATGAACTGGGCCTCTTTGAAAAACACCATCACACGGGCGTACGTCAGGCTGAAAAAGAAATTGTAATTTTAATTTCACATACATAATGCTACCAGCATTTGCGCTTTAGCCAGCGACCACAGCGTCCACATGGAATGGATATTTTCATTAACGCGAAAATAAGATAACATAACATCACGCCTTTTATGCTCAGAGGGAAAGGCAGACGTTTACATTACGGCACTTAATGCCACTGTACAATGTAACACCCACCTTTCACTATTTATGTTATGAGTCCCATATAATAGGGGGTGAGCCTATAGCCATATACCGCCTAACCGGGCACAATTCCAGACTCTGGCTCGACCCGGGAATCGAAACTGAAATTCCTTGGCCAGCAGTCGCACTTGCGAGCACTCGGCCAACGAGGCAGTCAAAATGAGATCTGTGATTTAATCGTGCAAGTTGAATTGACAAAGTTATTTCCTTATTTAATGAAAAGGTAGTGAACATAACGACGCCTGCAGTGAGTACTTCTTTAATGTGTATATTGAGGGTGGTCATATAACAGCAATAAAGCTTTTAGTAGGTACCTATAAATCATACTAGATATTTTTTTAAGGGGGGAAAATCATCGAATGACTTCTCTCGCCTGACTGAGGCGGGAGGAAGTGTCAGACTCTTACTGACTAAAAACCACTCCGTTTCTACTCATGTACTTCGAGCCGGACTGGAGCCCCGGTAACCCGTTAAGTTCTCCGCGGCATACTAGGTACGTACTTAAAACTTAAATAAGAATATCACAAGTCTGGTAAAGGGTACGAGAAATATAGTATCTGTGGTTTAATAACACGCGTCATTAACGCTTATTTAGTTCACGTAAGTTACCTAACATTACCTACCTAAATAGGTACTGTTAGGTAACTGACTCAATGGTTCGAGGTCCAAATATCGTAATAAATAATTTTAATATTACTTGTCTTTTCTACACTTTATTGTGATTTTAGTACAAAACTGCTGTACATGGAAGAAATTTTTTCATATTTTTCACTTTTATTACATTTTTCTGGGCTTCCACAGGGATGTATTTTGGAACCAAAATTATCCAATCCGATTCAATCGATCTCGAGTCTTTAGTCTTTAGTGATATGTACCAACCTATTAACGAACAGTAATTGATTTTATGCATGCTACACCCAAACCTATGTCTTGTCAATATTGGTCTATCAATTAAACACAAACACGTTTGTTTTCTACCACTGTTAGCAGTTTTACATCTGTTTAGTTTTAAAACATTTCACCAAGAAGGTATTGACCGGGAGTTTATTTTTGAGAGGTCGTTAACGTTAAATCAGTCGTGTGTGGAACAAAAATTATACCTACTTACCAACTCATTTTGAAATATGAATATGGAACAACATAACAGAATAATGTAAAATGTGCAAAAGCATTTGAAATACGGTGAATATTAATTTGATCTAACAGAAATTTTAACACACTTATAGGTGGACCGTACTAAACGATAGTCAGGAGGAAATAAATCATCCTACATTCATTTGATAAAATAATAATTTTAAGACATACTTACATACAAGTAATGCTAGAACTATAAACGTCGAAGGTCGATCTGATTTTCTATCAAATCGTTTATTTCCTAAATGTAAGGAAGTGAGTACTGTCAGGATATGGTGATTGTTAGTTTTGCAGATAAGCCGAGCATTTCAAAATATCCTCGCTTCATTTATCGGAATTTCGGAGGTTGAGTATGGCAGACGACCGAAGAGGTAATTGAGACAACCTAGTCTTCAAATTAGTTAAAATAAAAAGTTTGGTAATCTGGTATAAGAAGATTTTTTATAGTATAGCATATGATGATGATAGGAAACATAAATTCGTAGGTATAATGCTGTGATTCTCGAAATAATACATTAGAAAACAATATGAGCTCATCTTGACAAAAAACAATAACTGCTTATTCCCTCATTATATTCCACAACTAACTTACTCTTTTAGTTCTTCAGAAATGTTGTACAATTTATATGCTCGGAATATGGCTGCCCAATCATAGTCGGCCTGTGACGTCTCTGCCTCGTACTCGATGGATGTGCACGCTGGTAGACACTGGCACCTAGATGACACCGCTAGAGCCTCCCCAAGGGAATCCGAATCATTGCCCACTCGACTGTCCAGACCTGACTGGATTTCAATTGTCACTAGTTCCACTGAAAGACAGGATTTATAAATTAGGAATAACTTATTAACTTGTACCTATAATAGGTAGGCGATATAAAATAGGAGATACACCGAATTGAATCACTAAATAGTATAAAACAAAGTTGCTGTCCTCCGTCTGTCTGTCCCTATGTATGCTTAGATCTTTAAAACTACGCAACGGATTTTGATGCGGTTTTTTTTAACAGATAGAGTGATTCTTATGGAAGGTGTATAATACATGCATATTGCACCCGTGCGAAGCCGGGGCGGGTCGCTAGTTATAAATAAATATATTATAATATGTATAAATAGAAGCTTTCATAAGATTCCAAGTATTTACAGAATGGCGAAATAAATCTGCGTGGATTTCATTTCGCTGATTTTTACTGTATAAAAAAGTTGTATTAAATGAAGTAGGTATGCTTTCATGTTGAGTAAGTGGATAACCTACCTTCCTAAAATTAATTGAACTTTAATTAAACTTTTTATTCGAAACGTGAATGCTATAAAAACTGCATAGTTAAATATGGTAAAACATGTCATGCAATGCTAATATCTTACGCAACACCACCTACGATATTTCAAATCGTTCCACAAAGCTTAACTTGGTAAAAACATATTGATAGACAGATATTGATGACCCACTTACTCTGAGCTGCTTTTATACATTCTCTGCTGCCAGCATTGCACACCTGCATATTCGGCCCATCTGGAATGCAAAGTGCATTTTTATTCCGTATTACGACACATTACGTAGTAAACTGTTTTGAGAGTAAATGTAATTACAGTTACCTACTTCCAATGTGGTATAGTCAGGTATTAAGATCGTTAATTTTAATTCGTGAATGAACTTATGATCTAAAAAATAAGCTTAATGAGTTAAGCATCTGATGCGTGGGACTACGTGTAAAGTGTTGGCTATAGGGTACTAAAACCCCTGATAATTCTGAGAAGAAGTCAGAATATCGTTAGCGCCGTCTCTAAAGAACTACATAATTAACTGCGAATATCCACTCGCATACGTAGTGGAGGCCCCATTGTCCAGAAATGGCTTTATAAATATTATGAATACGGCTATTTATGTATAGGAGAAAATTTTCATAATTAATAGGGATGATGACAGGGTATTAAAATTAAAAATCTAATTAGTCCGTCAATGACACAATTAAAAAATATTAGAGACATATTTTTTATTGTGTCGTATAAGCTTACACTTCTGATATAAAACGAATCAAAGTTTAGAAGTGGGAGCTAAAACGTCATTTCTCTGCATAATACGTCTCTTTTTTTAAAAAGGGGGAAAATCATCGAATCACTGCTCCCGCCTGGGTGAGGCGGGAGGGAGTATCAGGCTCTTATTGACTAAAAACCACCCCGTTCCTTCTCCTGCACGTCGAGCATCGGTTCTCCGCGACATAATACGTCTCTAGAAGTGACATTTCAAATCAATATATCGTCGAAAGTACTGTTATTGTAAGAAAATAAAAAATACGTGTGTAAAATTTTAAAATAATCTACCAGACGCGCATTAAAATAAAAATTAGTCATCTACCCTATTACGACTTGTACTCACAGGGCATTCCGAAATGCACACATCCGCACCTTGTGTATGTAAAGTTCGCTAAGCACTCCATCTCACAGTTAGCTTGAGTGTACACTTTGAAGTAATGGAGATAGCGCTCGCTTGGAAAATAACATTGTCGCCTGTGAACAAGAAAAAGCAAACCATTGTTCGAGGTTCAAGTCTTACTTCATACTTCGTGGAGTCACAACTAATTAGTTGAGAACATTATTTAATAACATTATGATATTAACTTTATAGTTTATTGTCTGAAAGAAAAGAAACCATTGGCATCGTTTCAGAATTTCTGTGATTTTTCGTTATACAATATTTTTATAACGTAGACATTCTAAAACTATGATAGGCAAAAACATACACTTTAGATACCATTACACTAAAATATGCGCAGATATAGTATCTACGTACCTTTTTTTTGTTGATGGGGGGAAACCTTCCAAAGGCGCCTAGCTTTTTGGGGGAAAAGGCTAGGGAGTGTGGGATTTTTACCTCAATAAAACCTCGCCGGTGGCCAAGTAGTAGTAGACCAACCCCGGAGCCCCCACAGTGCAACGTCTGTTACGACACCTCCCAATGGAGACCTATGTGTCTCTCCTAGAGCCTCTCTGTGCACTGCACGGCGGCACGCGACCTCTATGCCGCCGTCATCCTTAAGGTCATTAGAGTATCTACGTACCTACATTAATAATTAACACCGTACAGTGCAGTTAATAATATATTATTATTAATATACAAACCTGGTAGGTTCATAAGGTTTAAGGCCGGAGGAAGTGGTCATCATTTTAGGTTTCACTGCAACGACTACCTCTTGCGATAGAGGCGATCGGAAGTATTGTTGTGAAAGCCTCGGCAGCTCTGCCGGATTGTGCAACAGTATCTACGGACATTACGGGAAATGTTATTTTATTATGTTTTACTTTAATACACCGAAGACTTCACTTTGTTTTATGTAACACACAATAGCTGTAGTACCTTAAAACCCTGCACTGGTCCCCTGCATAAATAATCCAGATCGATTTTTTTAGCTTTCAGCAAGAAGGTGAGTCCAGATTTTACACCATATCCCTGTAATACAAGATAGAATATTAACCACACTAAATAAGTTACTCAACACAGTTAGATTACATTATTTTTATTAGAGTGTTTAAATTGTTCGAGGATACTCGACGAGTTTTAAGCCACGATCGAGGTTCATAATCGTAAGAGCTTTGAGACTGGTTTCATTTGATATTGTGCATTTGTTCTTGGTAAGTGACTGTAAATTGACAATGACCGTAACTTTTGTATAAAAAAACGAATACGTTGTTATGATACGTTAAAGGATACGGCAGGGAATAGTATAATAATAATAGTCTAATTGTAAAAGAAATTGAATGTTGAATAGTGATGTAAAAACATGACCTAGTATTTGAACGTAGCAATTCACAAACAATATAAAGTATGATATTTGAAAACACTTACAGCGCCTCTATGAGGATAAGTTTCTATAGGTGTTCCTGACATGTATCCCTCTTCCAAGCTCCACGATTCTGCTCGTTTATCATGCTCCAAATATGGGTAGTTTTTATGTAAACTAAGATATAACAAGAAAAAAGTTACTCATATTAAAAATCTGCAATCTCTTTGGTCTGGGAATAATCCTGCTAAATATTTATTCTTTTAGCCTTTCTTTTCTTAGGCCGATTTTTCCAACGCTAGATAAATTTTAACTAAGGAATAACTTAAAAATCGTCCCTTTAGACTGTAGAGTAGAATTGACATTGGACAGTTTTTATTTTAGTACGGAAGAATTGTTCAATATTCAAACTTATTACTCTGATAAAATGTAACTGGCGTTGGAAAAATCGGTCCTTATCTAATTTCTTACTTACTTATTTAATCTAAACATTTCATCTGGTCCCAAAGTATTGAATGTATAACAAAGTCCTTCTTCTGTTAGAATGGGAGAGAACAAATCGGAACAGTTTTCACTTGGTATGTCTTTCCATTTACACCCAAAGAAAACTTCAGTCAAGTTTGGTGATACCTGAAAGAGAAAAGAAAGTAAGCAATAACTATATATCGGACCACCACCACAGAAAACCGACGTGAAACAACGCTTGCGTTGTGTTTCGTCGTATGAGTGAGGTTACCGGAGACCCAATTACCCCCCTCCCTAGTCCCCGTCTCCCGAACCACCGAATCCTCCACAATCCTCGAATTCCCAATTCCCAAAAGACCGGTAACGCACTTGTAACGCCTTGGTGTTTCGAGTGACAATGGGCGGCGCCGATTGCTTACCATCAGGTGATCCGTCTGCTCGTTTACCGGCTTATGCTATAAATAAAATATATGACAATTATAAAAGAGAATTCAAAGATATAATGTACAAACCGATTTAATGTTGTTTACGGTATCGACTCCAGATGAAAATCTTCGGCCGTTTGGAGGTGCAAGATGATCATCACAGACCATTGTAAGATCTTCAAACATGTGTTGTCTATAAACGCACAATAAAATTAATTTCTATCTTCTGACTTAACCAAGAATGCTTTTATATTATAACTTACTCATATAGAGAAAGATTGTCTCGTTGATTCATATACAGATGATAGTAGTCCGTGAAATTAAATTTCCTTTGCATCGCCTTTGTTTCAAAACAGACTGTCACTGCAGGATAAGGGATCTGGAATCAAAATAGTACATGTAGGCACCCAAATAATAGTCTTTCAAGTATTATTATTCGATGAAGAAGAGAATGATTACTTATGGAGATTGTAGAAGATGGCGCGAAACTTAAAATCACGGCTAAGGATGTCCAAAACAAACAAAAGAGGAAATGTAAACGCATTTTTGAACTCACCTGCCAGACTGGAGTGGGGTTCTCTGCAAAACTTACAATCACGGGACTTTCGTTCCACTTTATCCAAACTTTTCTGATTAATCCCGCGCAGAGGACCACACAGCATGTGAACATGAACAGCCAGAATATTCTGGAATAAGTTTAATGTAGGTTGATACAGTGAACATATCTCAAGTAAAGGATATGAAGGATACCTAATTGAACTTACTTTTCCACATAAGTTCTTTCTTTCTCTCCAATGTATCTCAATCCATGAAGATTAGAATTAGCAGTATAATCTACCAAGTAATCTTTGATGATGCTACTTTTCGCTCTTTTTGTTTTTTCTTGTTTTCCTTCATTTTCAACAGTTTCAGCAGTCTTCCCGAAGCTTTCCGATCTACAATAATGTTTGTTGTTAGTGATTTAGGTTTGTAGGACAAAGATAATAACGAACTTTGAATTTAGTTTCCCAAGGTGTACCTCGAGTGTCGCCTCATGATGCTCGTCAAAGACTACATCAAAATATGGGTAAAAAATAAAATGCGTTGTTAATTTGGGCTTGGTATGAGAAAGGCGTCATGGCTGTTAATGTTAACCCAAGGGATACATGTTGACCAATTACGAAATTAAATTTAGTAGAATGCTGACTAATTCGTTACATTTGTTTCATTATTTGTTTAATGAATATTCAAATCGTAACAAGGTTCGCACATCACAAGCTGAGCCCACCTTGCACGTCCATAGATGACTTTGTAATTTTCATTGCAATATGACATTGGCAGCCCTACCCCGATTCACTTGGGAGTGTTATAAAATGACAGTAATGTCAATGGTAGCATTTAACCTGGATATTATTCTAGTAAAATACTTTTAAAATTAATGTAGGTAAATGATTATTTGAAACGAAGGCGATTTGAATGCAACCCTTATTTTTATTAACTTAGGTACATCTAGGTACAAATTAACAGGCTTTAGTTAAAAAATAAATCTAAGAAAATCAAAAAACTAAAATTTATTTTGGGTTTAAATTAATTTCATCTCTGGAACTGCTGACAATTTAATTAGAAATGTAAGTGAAACATAAAGCAAATTTGGACTATGAATTAAATAAGTAGGTACTTACTCGAATTTGGTTATCGTTAGCTATGTATTAAGAAGTTTGATAGTTTTTGAGAAGCCATGACTGATTTACTTTAATTGATGGGCTGTGATGGTATATTTTATAACCCAGGTACAAATTGCGTAAGTTGGTGTATTGTACTGTTCGAGTTTTCCACTCGATTTCCCTTTAGGAACTATTAAAAAAGGGGTGGCCGATGATGTTCTAAGTAATATTATTAATGTAAACATGTGTTTGTTTGTCTTTCTTTTACATGTATCTCATCGTTAGGGATTCTACCGTATGATTGTTGTGTCTGGAGGTAGTTATGACGCTGATGGGTGATATAAGCTACGTTTTTCTTTGACTTCGTAGGCGAAGCCGTGGGCCACAGCTAGTATTCTAATACGGTAAGCTATGACATAATGCAGAGGTACTTGTATTCTACTAATTTACAGCAACATACATAAATTTCCCACGAGAAGTGTCGATTAGGGATTACTAAGTACCCATACAGAAATTGATAAACAAAATACGAATTAATTAAGTTAACGACTTCCAAGTTAATTATGGATTTGTCTATATTTGTGGCAATTTAATTTGTTATTCCCTACAGGAAACTAAGTACAATTTTTGGTTAAAATAACATTGAAATATAAAAGTGACATGTCGTGGTACTGGCCACTTAAATGATGTATTATGGCCATTGTATAATGTTTTTCAATGTAGGTAAATACTAAATACATTAATAATATACAAGTACCTATGTATCAAGTAAGGAAAACTATAAAAATAACACAACGGACCCACGGCCGCTTGCGGGCGATTTATTTCCAAACCTGTTAAAATTAGATGACGAATTCGACGCGTTGATGTTCCCCAATTCACAATCACAGCTAATTTCGGATTCCCTTGATGCTCCAATAAAGTTACTCATTTTGTTTAGATATTATCCAAATTAAATTGCATTTACATCACAACATGCTAACTGGACTTCGATTAGACAACTAAGTTTTAGTATAAAGTACCTAAACATAAAGTATTATACCTAATATAATAATAACTCCCTTATCAAAATGTGGAATCCTCCTACTCATTATAATTATCTACATTATGTAGGTACTTATATTATTTTATTATTTTTCTCTAATTTCAGACTAGTTATACGTAGATACTTATACATTGAACACACACAATACCAACAATATGTGCCTACCTAACTATAAATAAACTAAATAAATGTTGTGTTAAATATAACAACAACATTAGTGTAACATCTACTTTTAACCGATGTTATGTTAGTCCCATTACACTCACTAATACTCACTCAGTCTTGAACAAGACCTTATCTTACACAAGTTAGTGTAAGTAACCTCAGTCCCAAAAACATGTAGGTACACTTACTTACTTACCCGACCTTACCATTACCTTACCTTAGTTAAGTTAAGGCACATAAGCAAATTTTTGAGCACGAAGGCATGCTTCAATTGAGCACTTGCTTGTCACTTAAATTCAATTCCAACGCATTTTTTGGTACTTTGAAACGTCAACAACTATAAAATAAAAAATAGTCTGTCAGTCTGTCCGTCAGTGAAGCTAGGTGCTCGTACCAAAAAAGGGATTCGAGTGGAAGAACAAGCAAGAAACTCCATTCGTTACTCTTTTAAAAAATAGCATATGTGTTGGAATATGGCTCAAAATTAGCATGTTCATTTCAGACACGTGTTCGAAAGGCGTTCGATTTTTGAAAATTTTTGAATATGCTCAATAGAACGCCTTTTAGTTTTAGCATGCTATGTATTTTAGAACATGTAACGGTAGGTACCTTTAGGTACATAAATATGTATGCCTTATAAGAGTACATTTAGAATTGTATTATCTCATGTTTGGCAAATAAATTAATTCTGATTTCTGAGTGTGCTCTTGAAATAGGAACATGTTAAGTTGTATTAAAGGGTCTTTCACTAAAAAAAACTCACGCAGATTTTAAATACGGAACCGACACATTGTTATTAAGCACTCTTGTGACAGGAGCCACGTAAATCCTGTAGGACGTAGGTGGGTATTTGTTCACAAAATAACAAATTCAAACCCGGATGTTCCATATCATCGCTATTTTCCTCATAATAAATGTTAAACTATCAAACAATACATTAGTATGTGTCCTTTAGGATTTGGTAGCTTTTTATTATATTTGATGGGGCGACGTTTGAACGTTTTGGCTACATCTCAAAAATGGTCAGGTTAGTTTGACAACGCACATTTCAATTTACAGCCAGTTTCCTATAGATACATACATACACCTGGGTACTAAATACCAAACCGAAATAGACTTCATCAGACCAGCTTCAGTTAAAAAGGGTTAAACCTTGAAATAACGCCATAATTAGGTACTGGGCTTCTGGTTTCCACAGATGTTACAATGCTATCATGTTCAAAAAACAACAGACAAATAAAGGACATACAGTTCGTTAACTTATTGGTTTAATTTATCAGAAGATCATTTTTAAATACTGTGCTATCATTTAAAACATTGATATATTTCTCAAACCTGTTGAAATTAAGAGCTGAGAGCAATGCTATGGTTTTTGCATAATCTCGGCTGAATCCTTTCTGTTCCTTATCCTTTGTTTTGTTGCCCACGTTTATTAAATGTTCCATTTTACTTTTTAACTAATCTTTTTTCAAAAAGTGTTGATCTCCGCCACTAAAACATCGACTTATGATTTAGATGCTATTGGAGAAGAGAATGGTTAATTAAACATCAATTGGGATGAGCAAATGGCAGTCACTGGTTTAGAGAAGATCAGGAGTCAGTTAGCAAAAGAACTATTAAAACACAATCTAATGTTTTGGAGGGAATTATGGTAAACAAATATCATTTCAATTCAAAAGCTGCTGTTGTAAAAACCTCACATAAAAAAATTATTGATTAAAGTCATTGTTTTCTTCTTCAATCATTAGTAGTGCGAATACTTGCAAACTTTACGAAAAACACTACCCGATTCAAAAATGCAGTTGATGCTTCACTCCGTGACGTATGCGATTAATTTAATATGCACTTATTTTTTACTATTGTCTGTCAAACACAACCGTCAGAACTGAAGAACAACGAGTGATCACTAGCAATGTTTATTATGAACCCAAATGTTTACCTGCACGGCCCATTGATGACTATGATGACATAGCACAAGTACAACACAATGGCTGCTCTTTGTTTATGTACTTTTCTTATCAACATTGGATCATCAGTAATTAGAATTGTGCTCAGTCCGTATATGGCAATAGGACCACCCTTCTGACAAGGGATGGGATTGAGAATCATAACACTACTATTGAAAAGTGACAGTTATGTTGTATAATAATCTGAACCTCCTCTTCGGTGGCTATAAGGAATGACGTAATGTTATGTTTTTTTATGAAGCTAGCTGAAGAAACTGAAGGAAAGCGATCCAATATGTTATAAAAAATTACCTAAAATTTCGTTGAACTACTTAACTTTAAATATATTTTCAATATTTTGAGACTTTTCATGTCATTTCTATTTGCAGACTACATTAATTCTTTTTATCAGAGGATCGCTGTGGGTACAAATTAAACTAAACAAACCTTGATCAACATTTATTTAAGTTGAAGATGATCTCACAGAAAGACTAGAAAGAGCATGTATGTTACCTAGAAGTAAATATGAGACACGGGCTTCTGTTAGTTCTTAAAAATGATATAAGTATTAAATAACCACACAATGGTTTTCAGTTTCAAGTTATGTTTAAGCATAACATTAAACTTAGTAAGGCCTAAACGAGTGTCAGTATGTCAATAGACAATGTTGACATTGCTAGTGGCGTATGATGGGGCAGTATCGTCGGCATGTCGTCGGTGGGGTTACCAGGATTGCAATGAGATTAGGCAGATGACGGAGCGGTGCGCGGCACATTCGTGCGTCGATCCGTCCGTCCCCCGCGAGTGGCCGCGACTTGATTACAGTACGAGGGAGCGAGTGCGAGGCACTGACTGGCGGCGCGCCGGCCCGTACTACCAGTGTTTGTAAGGTCGTAGCCGCAGGCAGCCTCTCGCGCCGCCCGACGCTCGTTTACCCGTCTAAACAACATTTTTCTACCTTTTCTTTGGCGCGAAAAATCACGATGTCTGCAACAGACGAGCTTAGTGGGATACTCTCGAGGAGGCAGGAGATCAATGACAAACTGGAGGAGGGTTTGGAGGTTAAGCCGAAATATAAATTCGTAAACGTCTATACGGAATTTCATGAGTTCTCCAGGAAGGAAATAAAACAATACGAGGAGACCTTCAACAAGTAAGTGGGCTTTTTATTTTATTAAACTCGATTCTGAGAGATCGGTCTGCAGAGCCGCATCTTCGCAGAAAGCCGTATTACAGCCGGCGTCACCTGACCTTTATTGCTGTAATTATGTGTAAATACTGTCACTATGATATTCTCTAATGAATATCTACACTTTAATGTAAATATGTATCATATTCTATGTGATCATTATAAGAATACTAATGACATACTAATGACTTAGAGTATAAATGAAAGTTAAGCAGAAAAAACAAACGTTTTTAGTTAACTGCGGGTAATCTCGCAGACTAGTATTTAAATACATTGTTGGTTTTTGAGATATGTGGGGGCTCCAGCTAGGTAGGAAATTCGTTTAATATGCACATGAAGCGAAAATTACTTTTTAAGTCAATTTAGTGGAAAATTATTTTATAGCAGGTTATGGCTTTTGTTCTAAGCTAAAATAATTAATTAATACAAACTATTATAATGTAATAGTTTGACTGGATCTGGATTTAAGTAGGGTAGGTATATGACAAAAATATAGGAAACGAAGTATATAGGCTACCAACTTCAAAAATTTTATGAAAAAAATAGCACTCTTATAGTCGCGGAGAACCTAACGGGTTACCAGGGCTCCGGCTCGACGTGCAGAAGTAGGAACGGGGTGGTTTTTAGTCAGTAAGAGTCTGACACTTCCTCATTCAGCAGAAGTCATTCGATGATTTCCCCCCCTTAAAAAAAGGCACTCTTATTAAAATATTTTGATAGTACCCGCATTTAGCACAAAGAACAAAATAATATTAGTCGTATTTAATACATACGACACAATATAGATAGGATAACAACCTTACAATAAATAGCGAACAGATTCAGCGCTATCTCATTTGACCTTTAGATACGATTTGCTTTGTATAATCATTTCAATATTAAGAGAGCAATGTTTCAAAACATCTGTTACTTACAAGAATACAAAATATGTTTTCAATTGTTACAAAATATGTTAGGTCGTGACTGTCAGTAATACCATTGTAGTTAGTTACCTAAGTTTAAATATTTCCATCATCAGCCTTTAGGTAAGTTGTTCCCACACAGTTCGTCGATTGTTCCCTTCTAAGAATTATTGTTGTCAGTTAATTTTCGACCTTATTCCAAAAGCAACAATGTCAGGTAACTACTATGACTATCTAATCTACGTCCAAAGCTTCCTAATGGTAAACGCGTCGATTTGTAGTTCAAAGATAGTGCACCGTCCTATGGGGACGATACATTCCAATATTTTTTTCATCTCACAATCTCTCTTCTACTTATTCGTCAATAAGAGCTTTTAAACCATCACAATTAAAGCCATTCTCCTTAGCGAGAACTCTTTAAAAATAATAAAGACACTAAATATGTTAACTACCGGTATTATAATGTTAATAACAATAAGAATAACAAAGTGAAAGTTGCTATAGAACACAAATTACATAAAATTGAGTTCATAATATGACGTTATATTAGTTAAAGAGTCATTTATTAGGTGAAATGACAACGCATCGTCGTGGGAGACAAAAATGAATAGAGTCACGGCATGTTTACGAGTACATCGTATTTATAATTTACATCATCGCGCGACTTTCATTCAACTAGGTAATGATATAACGCGGCATGTAGGTACCCAGTTAATGCATTCACACGATCTGCGCCAACTCTAAGTGCATTTGTTGCAATTTCGAAAATGTCAGCAGAAATTACAAGTGCGACTGCCTGGCAAGATGTCTCAGGTTCAATTCCCGGGTCTGGAATTCAAAGCATTACTGAGCTTTAAAAAAATCTCAGTAATAGCACAGAGTCTGGAAATGTGTCCGGTATATGGCAATAGGCTCACCCCCATGGGACTCAGAACATAAATAGTGAAAAGTGAGTGTTACCTCTGTGTGCACTTCTGCGTATCCCCTACCCCTTCGGGGATAAAAGGCGAGATCTTATGTAAATTTCTATCTAACTTGAGTGCTGTACCACAAACAAATAAATTACTAACTACCTTTATAATACTAGCTTCTGCAAACGGCTATGCTCGCGTTCACGTGGGATTAAAAGGAGCCTATGTGTTATTCCAGACCGTAATCTACCAGTATCCAAATTTCATCCCGATCCTTTCAGCCGTTTTGACGTGAAAGAGTAACAAACAAACACACACAAACATAAATATGAACATTTCCTCACAAGTTAGGATTAAATAATGAATGTTCTAGTGAGGACATATTTGTTCAGTTTGAATTGAAATAATAGGTACTTACTTAATAAATAATATTTGCAATTATTATTGTTATTAGTAAAAGTAATGTTAAATAACGATACAAATAAATCATCAGGTGAGTAAACAGGTTTATCTACCTTTCTCAAAAGTCTACAATACAAGAAGTCTAGAATATAGGTTCCTATACCAGTTATAACAATTTTACCTTTTGAGTACATTGGTTTTAATATAGGGACAGCTATAAGCACCTATTATAAAAATTTTGCCACTAAATTTGCACATTTAGTAAGGAAAAAATGCACTGTATTTGATAATCAATTAATGTCAGAGGCAACAATGGAATAATGGAATAATGTTTTCCCTTCCAAACTATAATTTTATAATTAATTGACTTCATTAAAGACTCGCTTAAGTCATAATTGCGGTTTCCGTCTTCCATACAATTCGGGAATTCCTTTTTGCACGGACACATACTCAAGTTAGTGGTCAATATAAGGAGGAGAGGAAGATCTGTACTGAAATTCCGTTTCACTCGTTGAAGTCTGAAACATATTGCCTCTAAAGTAACAAAATTAATACTTGAAGTCTCTATAATTGGCATCGATGAAAAAATGTACCTAAGTATACCATGGATAATAATAACATCACACTTAAATATTGATATGAAAGGGATCGCAGCGGAAGTTAATAAAAGGGACACAATCAATGAAGTTCTAAGCGGGCTCCGGGACACAGGAACAGCCCGCATCACTTATCTACGTCTAATGTCTACCGCTATATCGCTAAACAAACATTGTAAATAATACAAACATTTCCTAACTGTGACCGTCTCTGTTTGTTACTGAAACAATAACTAATACTCATCGGCTACTTTCAAAGAAATCAAACAAATCATTTAACAATAACAACACCACACAATACGATAGAAGAATGATCAATAGACTAGCGAAACCGACATTAGATGCTAAGAAAAAATGATTAATTTTTACGGAATATAAAGATGATTCGTCGTAAAATAGGAAGTAGCTTAGTCAAAATAAGTTAGTCATGTTTCTTAGCAAAACCGGAGGTGTTAAACTGTACGACAAACCATGAATCACTGTTGACACAGTTGGTATTTAATATAACCGCTTACCACGTGCTGCCACCAGTACTAAATATTATGATAATGTCAAATGTGCATGTCGTGGACACGCACTTTGTATTCAAAGTTCGGATTAGCCCAGTGTGTAACACGGTTTATGATTCGCAATTCACACTTGCATTGCGAATCACGAATCGTAAAATATCCAGCACCCACAGCTGGCTTAATTAATTCATTAAATAAATACAAGTGTGTTTCCTGAGCTTCGCAATTTTATTAAAATTGAGCAGAGTGCATCTGAGAGGAAGTGAGAAGGAAGTCGGTGTTGATAAAGCGCGGCGCGACAAAATCAATGAGCGCTATGACTCATTCTTTGCAAACTGCATTTTACGCCTTGTTTTATGTGGTTTCAACCTTACCCTTTGTTTCCGCGACGCATGTTAATCAACAACACGTAATGGGTCATTAAAGCTTGTATGAATCACTGTGAGTAAACAGCTGATATTGAGATATAGCATATAGGTACTTACGCACAATCAATTCTCGTAATGGGCACATCCGATGATTTAATAATTTGTGTAAAACACTTAATAGCTTCCTTGATGACGTGTTGATTGGACATCGATTAACCTGTTACTATTAAGAATACTAAGAAACTGTAGTGAGTATTTACTAAGAAATTGCGTAGATATGAGTTGAATGACTGTTCCGTCACATTCGAAGTAGGTAGTACTTACACATTTATATCAATTTACGTTTTATCTAAAGTTTGTAAACATACAAACCATAACGTTAACTACTTACGTTCGGAAACCTTGACGTTTGTTATAAAAATAATTTTATGTTTTTACGGTTAAATTCATAGTTTACGATATTTCGCTCCCTCCATGGCAAGTCGACATGCAAAACTACAATTTTTAAAGAAAGCGCGTATCAGTTTGCCTAATCTCATTGATGAAATACCGACTGCCTATTCGGGTTGTATATCAATTATTATCAATATACATAGTTGTAGATATAAATAAATTGAAATAACGTGTCGTGTTAAAGTAGTTAGGTGTAGGTCTGCATTTCGATTGTATCGTTTTCTTGACCACCTTGAATATAATAAGCTCAATTGAAGTTTGTGACAAAAGTAAAACATATAATGTAATGACATATTTAAAATATAATTAGGCACTTTAGTAAGTTGCGTTCGTGTACATTTTCCCTGAATTGAAATAGGGAATTTTATCAATTTCCCTATTGTATGGGAAAATGTACAGGATATACTGCAAAAGTAACCCGATACATGGACGTGTATATAGGTAATAAACACCACTGTTCTACATTAGTCGTGTGAACGACTGTTAAACACGTCGCATTTGAAATTCAAAAATATCCGCACAAAACACACCAGTTCTGGTATTCGCAGATGGTACATAATCATATTCAGAAATATTTCCAAATATGTATTACATAATTGTGTATTTATGCCATCATATTTATCTTATTTTTCGATGACCTCCTCAAACTCTTATTTAATCTGAGCGGCAAATAAAACTAAGGTAGGTAGGTAATTTCTTATTCAAATCTTCATAATTATTAATCCGTTTCTACCGAATATCCGACTGGCATCAAATGAATATTTATAGCTCAATTCTTGACTAAGGTTTGAGAGTTCGTTCTGCACTGTAGACACAAGTATAT